TGACAAAGCTGACCTTATTGCAAGAGAGGCTGTAACTTGTGGTGATATGTATCCGTATCATAATTACTGTAGTGACCTAGCTTGTCTCCCAAAAATATATTTAAGGTATGCCTGGAAGGAATATTGGGAAAAAACAAGTACAATAAAAGGAAGATTTTATCGCCTTATACAACCCGATATTCCTTTCAAACCATGGTTTTGTAAATTAAAGCTTGGAAAGACCGCAACAACTATTATAACTCGTATGCGTCTAGGTCACGTATGCACACCTTCTCATTTATACAAGCTTGGTATTGTACAAAGTTCGTCGTGTAATTGCGGTGCTGAAATGGCGGACTTGAATCATATATTCTTCTCATGTTCTAAATTTGACCACACCTCCCTTTTTAATCATCTCCGATCCATCCGTGTTCCATTCCCAACTTCTATTCTTACTCTACTTTCTTCCAATGATCTTATTATCTATAAAATACTATCTTCATATATATATGATAACAATATTAAGATTTAGTTATATTACATGAATACATTTATAGTTGCATCAATTGCTTTTCCTATATATTTATAAGTATATTCTCATATGTACAAGTACATCCTTCATATCCTATAAATATCCTAGACCTAATCCTTATCCTTTCTAAATTCGTTTGTGTTAGGTATTTTTATTACTATTATCGTTTCCCCGTTTTGTTCTTGGCAAAATACCCTAATATTTGGGTGAACGCCACAAAACTAGAAAAAAAAAAAATAGATGTTGGCCGATTCTCAGACCTACTCGATATGCACACAAAATTTCATTAAAATCAGTAAAGCCGTTTCGGAGGAGTTTGGTAACAAACATCGCGACACGAGAATTTTATATATTAGAGATATAAAAGATAAATTCTATATGTCTGCCAAATAAAAACTCTACAAAACTCGTTTGCTAAGAAGTGTACCGAATTTCGATTGTATTTATTATTTTCAGATCGGTTAAAGACAGTGAAGAATCAAATTAAAGGTTTGAAGACGCTGAAAGAACAAGAGGGGTCCACTGAAATAGCGGAAAAGAAGAACGCTGATGTTGCTTGATCGTTGATATCTTAGTTTTAAAATAATTTAATAACTTTGTATCCAACTGCCATAAAAGGGCAGTGTAAGTTGTTTTGTTTTTTGTTAATTTTTTTTAATGGATGATAATAAAATTATAACCCCGCCTGCGCTATCAGTATATTCCTTTTTAAAAGGCCGGCAGCGCACCTGCAAAGCCGTTAGTGTTGTGGGTGATCATGAGCGGCGGTAGTCACTTACCACCAGGTGAGCCGCATGCTCGTTTGCCCCCTGTGTTGTAAAAAAAGGAAGGCAAAGTCAAAAGGCAGGTCAGTTGGCCCATCGTGGTGTATAGATCTGGAATTCAGCACGATGGTTTCCAGGAGGGGCCACGTGGAGGTCGATCTAATATACCCTTGCTAGCAATGGGACTAGTAGTGTCCGCATTAGTAACAATCCCTTCCTCCCTACTCGTGTATGTTTTTTATAATGGGTGATAATGGAATGGTAACTCCACCCGTGCTATTGGTATACACCGGTGGGGTACTAGTGAAGGATGATAGGTGAGAATGAAGCAGGTCAGTTAGCCCATCGTGACGAATTCAACAAGAATTGTTCACGATGGTTTCCAGAGGGAACCACGTGGAGGTCGACCAGATAGAGCTTGTTGCTAGCAATGGGACTGTCAAACTCCATTGCTAACAACCCCTTTCCCCCCTACTCGTGTATGTTAGGATGGATGATATCTTTAGCCAGCCATAGAGTAAGGAATGATTGGTGAGGATAAAAAGACAGGTTAGTTAGCTGATCGTGACGAATTTAACAATAAATTAGACACGATAATTTTTAGGGAGGAACAGCGTGAATATCGACTTGACAGAGTATATTGATAGCAATGGGGACTAACCTCCGCATTACTAAAAATCCCTTCCCCCTTTTGGTATATGTTACGCATGTATTTCTTAGTCATTGCAACTATATCTCATTTTTCTTGTCACATTGCATGTAAATATGCATTTTTAATTTTCAACCAACTTTAAAAAAAGGAAGTTCTCAATTAGGTTAATTTTTTTTTTATGTTCGTTACCTCATTACTCTGTCAGTTGTAGACCAACTTGTAAAATCCTTATAATTTTAATTAAAAATTATTTAATACCATTTTAATGTTTATTAAACATAAAGCATGCTGTGGTTGCTTTTAAATGTAAAAACAGTTAGATCTAATCTAGTAATGTATTGAAATGCTTGGCTCTATCGTATGTTGGCGTTCCAATAAATTAAATAAATTCTTTTTTGATTGCAAGGATTACAGACTGGTCCCATAGACATTTTTTTTTTCATTTATTGTGACTGGCGAAAGCCATCAGCCAAAAAGTAACAAATACAAGGTAACAGAACATAAAATTACAAGACAAATTACAAAAATTATAATGGTTATAAATAAAAAAAATATATAATATACTAAGAAAGTAAGTTTAATAGAAAGGTATAAGTTACAATTACATTTTTAAATTTTACCGTCCCATAGACAATTTTATAAAAATAGATTCAGTAGTTTAGTTTTTAAATCATAGACACAATCGAAGTAGTTTTTTTTTTGTGCAACACAATTTATTGTCTTTACTTTCACTATATCAGCACTATTGTCGGACTTTTAATTCGATTCAGTGAACTGATATAAGCTTATGTCACTTTCAAAAATAATGTTGCTACACTTAACTTAGTAGTGATGCACTCATTCGTTTAAAAACGAACTATTTTTACTAGCGTAAACTTTTTAGGTTATAATTCTATAAGTAATATATAATTATTACTATTTCATTACAACAAAAACAAAATAAGAAAAAAGATACCTTCCTCGATTAATTTTTATATTAATACCCATAAATAAAAAAAAAATACAGCAATAATCTACAACACTAGAACTACATCAAATTAAAAATGCGACTATAGTCCACTATAACTGGGGAGGAAATAAATGAGGACTTTGGACATATTGCTAACAATATACCTTGTCAGGTTGACTTTCACGCGTCACATGCCCCAGGTATTCGTTACCTGGTTTCTTTCTGTGTGTGTCTCTCTCTCTGTTCTCTGGAATTAAAGTTAGTTACTAATCTATCAAGAAAAGTGTGTCTAGCCTATTTAGCGATTATAATCAAAAAGTGACAAATAAAAAATGCTTAAATTTATGTTTACTTAAATAAAAATATTTCTTTCTTTCCTTTTTTTTATTAAAAAGAAATCAAACCATGTAGTACCATAGATAGGTATCCTTAGGAGACAGTACATTAGTCAGTGGGGTTGTATCTGAGGCGCCATTTCTCTAAACGTATAAATAAAATTAAAAATTAAATTTATTTTTAATGACTAAAGAAAAAGAAGAGACAAAAATAATTACCAATTTGAATTAAATTTCTAATATATGTACTTAAGTCAAAATTATTATAAATTTTAACGTGTGGTCCCGGCATAGAATGGGCCGTCACTTCCTTTTCTGTGGATGTCGTAAGAGGCGACTAAGAAAATTTGGTGATAGAGGGATGGGTAGTAGGGCCCTTCTTAAAATCACATCAAAAGCGTAATCGCGGTTGCTAAACCGCCTGCCAAGCGTGGGAAAACAACCCAATAGGCGGAGGTCTATATTCAGCAGTGGGCAGCTAACGGCTGAATTTAGTTTATGATGGTGCGTAAAATAGTTAAGAGATCACTTTAGAGAAATAGCGACGCAAACTTGATCTCAGCGGTGAACTCATCATTTTTGACAATTAGGAAATGATCTCGAAGTGGCCATCCAATAGTTGCTAACTTATCAGTAATCAATTTGTAAAACCAATATTCCAGACTCAATACAGCATTTTTATTATTATTTCAGCCCTTAATTATCCACTGTTGAACATAAGACGTCCCCATAAGGGGAGTTTTGCCAGTAGTTGCCACGCTTAGCAGGCTGGTTGGCAACCGCAACTTTGCAAATGTTTTAGGAAGGACGCTGCTGCCCATCCCTCCACCATAAGCATAATATATACAGCAAATCACTGTCAAATTATTAGGTATATGCAAACAAGTGAAAACTGCGAAATGGCGTAACAAATATGTACCTAAACAGGCAAGTACACTCGAGTGGTGTAGTAGGTATTAGTAGGTGTTAGAGATCGTTGGACGAACATTTTCGGATGCACTTTCACTTCACTGGGAATGACGCCTGAAAAAAAATTAATAGCAATAAATTGTACATTAGATAAATTGCTTCTTATAAAGAGTCCCGGTTTACTACTCAATAAGCTGGTATATTTAAGCACATTTAATATAATACTATAGTAGATTTAAGTATACTAAAGATTTGACATTGATGCACAAATTGGTTTTTCTCTTACGTTATATAGATAGAGTATCGTATCTCAAAAGCGGGTAATTTTTTGTCAACTAATTGTCAAATTAGCTCACTCATTTTTTTTAATCAGTGTTCCATATACATACGGATACAAAGTATCTTGACGTATTATTTAATAAATAAAATAAGTATCTACGCATTTATTTAAAAAGATAAAAAAATTATAAGACAAACTAAATATAGAAGTTAAAAAGGAATCACTCTCAAATTGTATGGTATAAAAAAGTTGACCCGCTTTTTTTGGAGTATTTGTATGGATACACTTTATTTATATAATCTGAGGTTTTATCTACTGTATAGTTTTAATTTTACAATTTAGTCTGAATGCAAAAGTGTACCCGTTTTTGACAGATATGTCAAGTCATACCTAAGTCGGAGAGGTCAGTTAGTTTTTTTTTTGGAATAATCCATAATTATCAGATAATTATTTTATTACATTTAGTAGTAAAAGTATTTATTTTTCATCATAATTGTAAAACGTATGAAGATATCAATGTTTGAATGACATAGGAATATTTTATGGGTCAATGGACAGTACGTGTTTGGCTTGTTTGAAACAGGCACTCATTCAAGCAAGCATAGTCAGTTACTCAGTATACGCGGCTCGGTAATGCCGTGACCACGTTTCTGTTTATTATCATTTATAAAAGATAAAAGTGTTCTAATTTCAAAACTTCAAATAATTCCATTTTGTGTATCATATTAAAAAAAAGTAAAAATTACTTTTTAAATTAAGAAAAAGGAACTATGTATATGGTAATTTTTTTATCATCGATTGGTGCAGTAGCACTTTGCCGGATAGTCATAGATTCCCTATGGAGTCCATTGGAGGAGATAACATCTTATTTAATGCCCTACTTCTTACCTTCGGAAGTGCAGCCGTTGACAAAAAAGTTTGGTGTTTGGGCAGGTGAGTCGATTGGTGAAATGTTGGGTGTTTATTTATCAATAACACATCATAGAAATTTAGGTCCAAAGCTATTAAGATCACATAAATTACTTCGTAGGTATAATTAACAATCTTTTTTATCTATATTAACGAAAATGTCGCGTTATCAATATTGTTAGGTATGCAGTACAATATATTTCATACGTGTCCGTATATGTTTGATGTCACGGTCGTACAATTCAATATAAATAAATCAGATTATTAGTGTTGTATTGTTACAAATTCAGTACACGAATGTAAACACTTTTGTTTTTAAAATTTTCAATAAAAAAATAACATATGGCTGTATAGTTAAATGACCATTACATTGCTATCTAAAAAAAAAAAAATTTGTTCACAAAAATTTTGATTTACAAAAGCATTATGTGTCTTAGATACCTAGTTTATTTTTATCTAATAAATATCAAAATATATTTAGGTCATTATCATAAATTAATTTTACTACCGGTCGCCGCCGCGACCGGCAAATTGGCCTTGATTTTTCGTGCCAATGTTTTTGTTTTTATATAGACTACCTAGTTTTTTTTTTCAACTAATAAGTATCACTTATTTTTTTTTCACTATGAAGATGTTGATTTATTATTAACACAAAATTTAATTAGAAATATTTATGAAGTAACTAAATACATAGAACATGTATAAGTCAACCTTGAAAATAACAGGAAGTATCGATCTAAGCAATTTTATATATTATATTAGTAGATTAAATTGTCACTTCATGTTAGTTTGCTTGTTAATTATACAGGTTGGAAACGTTATACTTTAGTTTTATACCTACTATCCACATTTATGTGTTGATCAAAACCAATACATCAAAAAAGATATAGTAATATGCGTGGAACGTAGATTATCAGTTGATATTTTTGTATTATTATCTTTTAGATGTTTTTTTTTTCAATGGATGATAATGGTATGGTAACTCCGGCTGCGCTAACGGTATACGCTGGCGGGGCACCAGTGAGGGATAATAGGTGAGTATGAAAAGGCAAGTCAGTCAGCCCACCGTGATGAATACATTAAGAATTCAGCACGATGGTTTCCAGGGGGAACCACGTAGAGGTCGATCTGATAAGGTATATTGCTAGCAATGGCGCGCTTTATGTTTAGATTATATGGTTTACTAGCTGTTGCCTGTGACATCGTCCGCGTTTCCGTCGTTTTTCGTAAAATAAGTAGCCTATGTCCTTCCTCACAGTTCAGTGGTTTTGATGTAACAGACACATTTCCCTTCACTGCTCTGCTCCTATTGATCGTAGCGTGATGAAAAGTATACTATAACCTGCCCAGGAGTGTGAAGAATAATTGTATCAAGTTTCATTAAAATCCGTCGAGTAGTTTTTGTTTCTATAACGAACATACAGACAGACAGACGGACAGACAAAAATTTTATTTTGATGCATTTTTGACATCAGTATCAGTATCACTAATCACCGCCTGATAGTTATTTTGGAAATATATTTCATGTACAGAATTGACCTCTCTACAGATTTATTATAAGTATAGAAAGATAAGGGACGGGAATTAACGCAATCATTTGGGTAAACTATGATAATTCCTGTTGAATATATCTATGACAATTCCATAAATTAAAAAAAAAGTATGCGATGACAGGAGAACTGTCAAAAGCGTTAAAATTTCAGACAAATTATCATACCGCAGATTAGGCAGCATGGTCTCAGACCTTAGCCTGTTCCATAACGGAACAAACTTACTAAAAAAAAAAGGTCATAAGCGTTAGCTAGGTTAAGACATTTAGAAAAGCCACGTGCACACAAAGGACCAATATCTCGAGAAATATTGTTATTTTTTTTTTACAACTTATAATGGCAAACAACCTGACGGTTCACCTGATGGAAAGTGGTAACCGTCGTCTATAGACATGAGCAGTACCATGGACATAACAGAGTATACTGTTTCGCCCACGACACCTCCCATGCGTTGCCATTCCTGAGGACTCAGGTGTTATTCCTCTGTACCCAGTAAATTCACTGCCATATCCCACCCTTCAAACCGAAACACAGCCATGCAAACACAACTGCTTCATGGTTGAAACACGAATAGGACAGAGGTAGGGGGGAAAGGGATTGTTAGTAATGGAGACTGAGAATCCCATTGCTAGCAATATACCCAACCAAGTCGACCTTCTCGCGGTTCTCCTTAGAAACTATCATGGTTAATTCGTGATGAATTCATCATGAAGGGCTAACTGGCCTGTTTTCATTCTCATCTATCACCCTTCACTGGTGCTCCGCCAGCGTATCCCGTTAGCGCAGGCGGGGTTACCATACCATTTTCACCCATCAAAAAAAAAAATAGACAACATTACTCTATTACCATTTGAAGAGTAGATTGATGAGCTTCCGCTTCCGAGGTCGAACTTTTTTTTTCTACCCACTCATTGTCCCACATCACACTAATTCTGTCCCAATACTAAGAGTGACACATAACACTAATCGTGTCTTTAAACGATGCATTTACCGACTTACCAAAGTGACCGACCTAGACCGACGGAGTAATCTCAAATCCATTGCAGGGGGGGGGGGGAAGGGAATGTTAGTAATAGAGTCTAATAGCCCCATTGCTAGCAATATACCCTCTTAGGTCGCCTTCCACGCGGTCCCCCTGGAAATTATTATTGTAAATTCTTGATGAATTCATCATGATGGGCTAACTGGCCTGTTTTCATTCTCATCTATCACCCTTCACTGGTGCTCCGCCAGCGTATCCCGTTAGCGCAGGCGGGGTTACCATTCCATTTTCAACCATAAAAAAAATCCATTGCAGGGAGTCAATGGATGCGGGTGGTTCAGGACCGTTCCTTATGGTAATCTATAGTGTAAGGGGGTATGGGATTGTTAGTAAAGCGGACTATCAGTCCCATTGTTAGCTGTATATCTAGTCAAGCAACAGCCACGGGAAAGGAAGAGGTGGTCCATTCTATGCCGGGACCATACGGCCATTTTTAATAATATATGCACCTATTTGAATCCCATTTACATTCACTTCGCGTTGCATCACTGAGTACTAGAGGCGTTTTATACATACCGACTCCAACAATGAGATATAGGCAAGGAAATGAATTTGAAATTTAGTATGTACGTGTTTGAGTTTCGACCTCGGGGCTTTTTTACAATGATCAGAACTGCCGGTTGTATTCGCACAGCAAAAACCGTTGCGAATCAAAATATATTTGTACGAGTGCATACGATTCCGCATTCCAAATTCAAATGTATCCCATCGAATGTGTCTAGGAATTCCAGAAGGCTGGCGTATACTTTGGTCAACGCATTTCCATTGCTATTCAGCGTGGAAGTCTCCTAGGCACCCTACCAGCTGGCAGTGATCTTAAGGAATTTTTTTATCTTTAACTATTTAAATTTATTCCATTAGAAACATTTATTTAGATATCTAGTAATGAAAAATTTTTTTTGACAAATAATTGACGTATATATATTAAGGTAACAAGGTATCTATGTTTCAATATACTTAAATATAATATATATTTTGTCTAAGAATTATTTCACCGTTAATTGATAATTTTTATCATTATTAAAATCACAGTTTAGCCTCACGTCACAGCTGATAGTACGTAGCAGCACTGTTTGATAAAAATTTGTCTGGTATGGTTTCTAAAATATATGTTGTAGTCAAAACTCTTAACCAGTCCAAAGTACTACTGATTAGCAGAATCATTCAAAAGTACTTTTGACCGTATGCTTTACTCAATAAAACTTTTGACGAAAATAACAGTTAAAAGTATCTAAACTAACCTAACCGCAAATTTGCAGTCAAAAGTAATAATAACCAATAATTTTCAGTTAAAACCCTATTTGACCAACCTGTTCAGTCCCCTGGAAGGGATTGTTAGTAATCTAGTTACGTCACCATCGCTACCTGACTCTAATATACCTTATCAGGTCATCCATCTACGCGGTTCCCCTTGGAAACCATCGTACTAATTTATCGTTGAATTCGTCATCGTTATTCGATTACTAATTGACCATGCCTTTTCATCCTCAAAAATCATCCTTCACTGGTGCCCAGTCTTGTGTATACCGATAGCAATAATTTTGAGTTAAATTTCATTATCATTCATAAAAAAAAACCTGTTCAGTTAAAAGTACTTTTGACTGATTTTGTTAGAACTTTTGACTGGTTAAGAGTTTTGACTGCAAAATATATAATAAATTGGTTCAAAAGTTTGATTTTTAAATCAAAACTATTTAATTGGTTAACTATTTAATTGCTATAATTTTCAAGGTTTCGAGCTCAAACTGCAAACCCACTGTATATGATTCGGGATCGAGGTCCGGATTAAATATAATTATTTCGTCATAGTCGTAGAATACCGACGGATCTGACGAAATATTACATATATAGATCCGTCAGTATTCTACGACTATGACGATTTCATTTGCTTTGTAGGCATGGATGGTTTGACATGTCACGGTTAAAATTTCATATGTTACACCAAACCATACGTCACGCTAGCTAAAGTCGCTTCACAAAGAATGCTACATATCACTTTAAATAAAATCACAAATAATAGGATTCGTTCTGCATTCGGATTTACCACACTGCGTTAAAGTGTCTATTCATTTGCTTTTATTATATAAAAAACAATTCATATTTTGCTTTTATTAGCAAATGGTAGCGACTGCGATATTAAAACATTGTAAGCAAAAATCACATTGTTGTGATTTGTCACAGGTGATATTGTACTAGGAATAAAAATAATAATTTCATTAAATGATAACGAATTAAATGTACCAATAATTATATATAAGAGCCTACTAATTTACTAGAGGCCCTGAAGGATGTAATTCGTCCCTGCACTACACTTAGCTGTCAACTGTCAAGATAGGTATCTGTGGTTATGGCGAATCGCCCTTATAAGTGGTCAGCTAGGTAAGCCACTTCCGGTCCTAATGCAAACCATAATTTATTATTTCTTCTTCCAT